ACCAACCTATAACAAAGCTCTAGGCTGATTACTGATTTATCAGCACCTAAAGTGTACTGCTGTAAACTGATTTATAAACGGGGAGTCAGTCACCCAAAGCAGGCTGAGGTGGACAACTAAATAATGTACACAGTCCAGAATCCAGTTTTACAAACTGTGGACCCAAAATTGGACATCATTTTCGTTGCAGTATGAAGGACCTCTCTGTTCCAACATGACCTCTTGACCCTACAGGTCATAGTTTCTCTTAAACTGAACTTTTGTTTTGAAAAATCTATCTTAGAGACCAACTCTGGCCGGGCTTTTCATTAATCTGTCCTTGTCCTGCAGATCAAGCTGACATGACAGTCTGTTTTAATCTTTTGTGGTTAATTATATATACTTAAAGAAAAAAGTCATTACATTCCTATAGCATGTTTTCTCCCTTATTTCAAGGGTATTGATCATATTACTGTGAACATAAATATTAATCTGAAATGTCATTTTTAACCATAGTTAAAATGTTAATTGTTTTTCTTTCTCTCTCTCATAAGCATGCCTGAACAGCTGCTGATAACTAAATGATTGTCACTGAAGAAAATGTTTTCACTCAGTAGCAGTGACCCTGAATAGTATTATTTTGACTTGTAATAACACCAGCTGCAATGCTGGTAGAGACAGAAGAGAAATAATTCTCTTTCTGTGTTGTTGAAATGTTCTCTGATGGAGGAGCCAATCATCTGAGGACAATGCAATTTTATTTAATTCTTAAACTGCAGAAAATATTGAGCTAACCTCATTACGGGTGTCTGATAAAGGCTGTTTTTGACGTAAGCCACGCTGTCTCACAGAACCTGCTTCTTGCCCGACCTCTCAGTTAGGCCCTACTGGACAGTTCTGAGCTCATGTGAACCCCAGCTAAAAGGGGTCCCACAGTAAGCCACCCACTTCTGAAGACGAACTGGATGTTTCCAACCTGGGTAAGAAAGTCAACCTGTACCTCCCTTAAGGCATCACGAATGACATGTAGAGCAATTCTGTGTTAGCCTGAGACATTTTGATATCTCTTCTTATCTGCAGTAAAATAAAAAAACTAACTTCTAAAATGAGTAAGATCTTAACATCTTCTCCCCAAATTGACAAAACTTTATAAGTTCTTAACCTGGGTCACTTGTCAATTAATTAAAAGAAGACAAAAATATTTCCTTTTAGGAAAATATATTMTGTTTCTTCTAAAAAGGTTTAAACATCAACCCTATCTAGACTTGTTGATTGATTGATGCCTTTATTGTCATTGTACGGAGCACAATGACATTACATTTAAGAACACCCATTCAAGAAGACACACATGACAAACATGAGGGAACAGGTGATCAGATCATGCAGCAACCAGCAGGAGTTGTGCTACCTTTAAATAGAAAAACGAAAAAACCACAGAAGGTTGGATAAGAAAAAAAACATCATATTATTTCAACAAAATGTGACACACTATGGTGTTTATAAAAAAAACCTCAACAAGCAAGAGCACATTTATCAGCCAGAGGAGTAAGTGAGTTTAGAGGGAATGAGTCTGAAGAATCCAGCCCCACAAAACAAAAACCCCATAGTTCAGAATATTGGTGCTGAATTTTTCATTCTGTGCAGCTCCAGGTTGACCTTCAGGGGATCAGATTAAACGGAGTGAGAGGAGGGAGGGGGGGTTAGAGCCACACGTTGACGTAAACACCAGGAGAAATTAYATCCACTGCCTTCAAGGCCACATCAAGTCTACCTTAATTTTCACTTTTAAACTATTTTCTAAACCTTATTCCTTTGTCTTTCATGTTACTATTTTTATTCATTATTCAGTTAAGTTGATTTTTCTATTTCGTACTAAATTACCATAAAGACAAAGCAGTTTTCTTCATTCTTATGTATTCATGCTGATGAGAAGAGTTCCTGCATTCTTACAATCTCACACTCCGGTGTAAATGAGTCTGATTTAAAAAGGGAGAATAAATACTGATTGGTAAATCCCCCTGTTGGGGGCACCAGACCAGACTTCCTGTTTCTCCACTTTGTTCTTGTTATATTATCAACTGGCCAGTGAAAGACCCTGTTGACACAAAACCAGTCTCTGAGAATAGAATAGAAACAAAATGAAACAACCTTTATTGTCSCAGGTGGGGAAATTCAGGTGTAGTAGCAGCACATACATACATCAATTGGAGCAATAATAGTAGAAATTAAAGACAGTAACAGTAAGAAATAAACATAGATCAAAATAAAAGTAAGAATAATCATTACTGTAACGGGCTATCAAGATGATGTCTGTGAATGACAATAAAGCAGATTCTGTAATGTACCAGGCAGGGTTGTCAAATGGGACATAATAAAGTGTTTTACTGTTCCTTTAACATTAAAATATTTTGAGTCAAAAAGCAGATATGTTGTGTATATATATGACTTAGTCAGTTATACACAGTAAACTGAGTGAGTGTTGTAAGGTGTGTGTTGTGTTTGGTGAAAATATGCATGGAAGAAGAGCAGCAAAAAATATTGTTTTTAAACAGGCAACTCTGATGCTGGTTTCACTCATACTCTGATCATGCAGTGGCTTTATGATCACAATTACACCCAAACATAAGGAGCAAACTAAAGTTCATTTGGACCTAGGATAATTTTTGTGTTTTTCCTACAAGCTACAGGGTGAGTAACAGAAAAAAGCACTGCTGTATGCAATTTATTGTAACTGTTGCTAGTTTAGAAGAAACTTTTCTGTAGTCTGTGTGTCGGCTGTTTGCACATGTGCACCTTCGCAGCTGCGGGGGGCTTCTCACCTCTGCAGGGGGTGTTAATGAAAAGCTCCACTCTGAGACTTGGTTTCAAAAAGTGCCGGTGTCAGAGACTCTGATTACTACTGACGTGCAAACAAGCGGCCAGATTGCAACAAAAATGTTTCAGTTTCACTAAAAACCAGCTCTGGTTAAATGGGGCCAAAATGCAGAGACATGGTTACAGTCACTGGTCTCTAACTAGGGCTGCTTGGGCTGTAATAAATCATAAGCCCTTTAAAGTAGCATCATGCATTCATGTTCTGCACATGCTAATGATATACTCTCACTGGTTTTGATGTCCACACCTTGTTTAGATGAAGATGACAGAAGAGGAAGTGAGAAAAACCTGGGTTCATTAGTTTCTATTGTCATCACAATATTAAAAGGAAATATTGCATGACTTATTCTTAATACTGTTCAACCCAAAATGAAGAAAGAAACAGAATTCAGAGACTGCATCTGAAAAACTAACATATTTTTGTAATTATGTGTCACCAACAGTCACATCCCAGTGAGATACAAGTGCAGGTCAGAAAGTTTGAATATCATAAAATGTTCAGTTGTTTATCAGTCAGTTTAGAAAGTGAAACCCATTTATTGCATAGATCATTATACARATAGTGAAATATTTCATGTCTTTATTTTTAGCCATTTTTGATGATTACAGCTTACAAATAATGAAAAATGTAATCAGGCTCAGGATGGACATCCATCTGCCTCTACCTGCTGGTTTTGATGAGACAGGAAAGAGACAAACACAGAAGGACTGGTCCAGGTGTATTTTCCTCTGGAAGAGAGACAAAGAAGAACATATTTGATATAGATAATTAGAACAAACAAACAAACATAAAAATAAATAAATAAATATAAATATTTAATATGGCTGCACAGTAGATCAGTTGGTGAAGCTGTTGTCTCAGCAAGAAGGTTGCTTTATGAAATTCCAGCCTAGGACCTTTCTGGGTGGTGTTTACATGTTCTRCATGTGCATGAGGGGGTTTATCCAAGCACACCAGTTTCCTCTCACAGATGAAAAACATGTATCCAAACTTCTCAAGCACATATTTTGTCTCAAATAAATGCTTGTTTTGTAAATTTTGAACAAAATCCCTTCCATATCTTAACACTTTGACTTAGCCGTCAAGAGCAGGCCAGTCTGTCAGAAACATTTTCTACACTTTAAATTTTACATCTTGGTAGTTTTGAGGTTTAACCTAAATGTCTGCAGCTCCATCCCTCAACAGATGACAGTTTGTCTAAAACTCTGCACAGAAAGGAGGAAAACCCTTCAAGGAACACTAGGCCTTTAATTGTAAAAAACTTAAACTTCAGTTACCAACACACACACACACACACACACACACACACACACACACACACAAACACACACACA